TGTTTATGTGTACTTTCAAATTCCATAACCTTTTGTTACATTGTCAGGTTAAAATTAGGGTCGCTAGAATAATCAATAACTACGTGTTATTTTTACCCAATTTAAAAGTAAATATACATGAGTCCCCTAACATTCCGGTTGAAAAAAAAGTTGTTTTGGTTGTTTCGAGGTTGTTAAGAACGAGCGAGGGGTAATATTGTTTGTTTAGGTTTGGTAGGCAAAACTAGGTGCGGGGACAGGAAAGGAAATTTGAATTGAGATTAGTTTAAGGAGTCGAAGAAAAGATTTGAAACTGAGAAGACGTTTTGGTTTGTCGGTAAAGAGACCGGCAAAATTGGTTGAAACTAGTAGACTCTATGTAATATGTCACAAGGATCAACAGAATCAAGATATCGAGATAATTCCAGGTGACCGTAACATGTATGCTTCAGAAGTCAAAGGTTTAGATAAAGTTTTTGAAATGGTTAAGGCTAATCTTCGAAAAGGATATGAACGTAACGCTAGGAGTTACAACTTACGTAGAAGAGAAGTCCAATTAAATGGTTCAGATCTTGGTAAGTGGCACATTAAAGATTTAAAGCCTTTTGTGTCAGATGAGGACAATATGTCATCCTTAAGTAATTAGTTCATCCTATCCCATGTCAATGTTTTCGAGTTTATATGTTGATTTGATTTCATCCCTTTGGAATATTGTTTCACTTTTGACAATTTTAGGTCAGGTAACCTATTTTGATTGGAGGCACATGCGAGAATCACATTTTGTCATATGTAGGTATATATATTTAGGGTCTATATCCTAATTTTCTTGTGGAACAGTTGCCGAATTCGGTTTACAAAAGAGTCACCACTATTTCTATTTTTTTGGGTACCTTAAAGATTTGTATAGATATCGGAAACTTTTGAAGATTGATATATAGGATGTTTCCACCAAACCTGATTTGATCGTCGTTCCTGAGTATGGAAATGGTTTCCTTGTTCCTGTTAAAGAATATGTCCAAGTAGCTTCCCCAGAGATGTAGCAAGTTTTTTCTTTTTCAAAGTTAAGTTCAAATGTGAATTAAGGTAACAATTCAATATATTATGTTTTCCAAGTTACATAGACATTTTTAATAATTGCTTTCATTAAAATAAAACAATTTGTAATAATTAAAGTTTTATATTATGTTATGAATCGTAGCTAAAAAATGTCATATTTTATTCTGATTTAAAATGTTATGTTGATAGATGACATTTGCTCTAATCCATTGTTGTTGTAAAACAATTTCAATTTGATTATTATATATAAAAGATATTTCATATATAAGGTTAAATTCTACAGTATTTTCATAAAAAGGATATCCGTAAGTTTTTTGATAATCTAATTTGGCCATATTATAACCTAGGAACCATTTCAAGAATTTTTGTAGAAATCTCCTTTGTAAACAAATAACACGTGAGCTTTTGTTAATTTGTTATATAGTATGCTCTTGTATAATATGTATTTTTGAAAACTGTTTGTTTGAGACAAAAATAAACGTTCGATTTGTTTGTCTGATCCATTTTGTGTTTTAGTATCCCTTTGTTTTCATTTAGTAGATACCCCAATCCGACCCAAATTTATTTTAACTTATCCACAACCCCGATCTCCAACAACCCTCTGAGTACCGTACGCACTAGTTCCGATTATTTTGTTTACCCAATCTTGTCCCCCATGTTCTTACCCTGAGGTAAGCAAAATAGTTTGTTACAAAGTACACAGAAAAACTAAACCCCACCAACAGATATTTAAATTATCATTTAAAACGCAATATAAATATCAAATAGAGAAGTATCGAATTATTATATGATAGAGCCCAATAGGTACACCGGAATTAATATCGGAAAAATTAAAAAGAATAGGAAATAAACACATCACTTCTTCTTCTTCAGGTGCCATCTCCGCTACGGAGGTTGGCAATCATCATAGCTATCTTAATTTTTGAGGCAGTAGCTCTAAATAGTTGTTTTGAGCTGCATCCAAACCATTCTCTCAGGTTCTTCAGCCATGAAATTCGTCTTCTTCCGATGCTTCTTCTGCCATCTATTTTTCCTTGCATTATGAGTCGCAGGATGCCATACTTATCGCCCCGCATCACATGTCCGAGATACTGTAGCTTTCTTTCTTTAATTGTAAGTTCAATTTCCTTCTCTTTGCCTATTCTTCTCAGTATTTCATTGTTTGTAACTCTATCTACCCAGGAAACCCTCATAATTCTTCTATAGGTCCACATCTCAAAGGCGTTTAAGTCGTCTCATGGTATCTAGATTTAACGTCCATGATTCCACTCCATAATATAGTACACTGTATACGTAACATTTTTTTAGGCGTACTTTAAGAGCTAATGTTAGATCTTTGCCACATAGGACCTTTTTCATTTTTATAAAATTAGAACGTGCTTTTTCGATTCTGACTTTGATTTCTGCCGTGTAGTCATTATTTTCTGTTATAAGTGTTCCTAGGTAAGTGTACTTTTTTACTCTTTCGATCTGCTGGCCCTCTACTATCAAGATTTCGTTAGTATTATAGTTGTTTTTACAAATTTTCATAACTTCGTCTTTTTGACATTACGAGAGAGTCCGTACTCCCTACTACACATGACTATTTTGTTCATGAGTCTTTCCAGGTCTTGTAAACTATCGGCTATTATTACTGTATCATCTGCATATCTGATGTTGTTAATTAAGACTCCATTTACTCTTATGCCGACTGTTTCATCTTCCAGAGTTTCTCGAATTACCTCTTCAGAATAGGCGTTAAATAATAGAGGTGATAGAATGCAAGCCTTGCCTGACTCCTCTCTTTATTTCCATTTCTTCAGATGTTTCTTTTTCGATTCTTACTATTGCTCGCTGATTGTAATAGAGGTGTGTTATTAGCCTTAAATCTCTTTCATCTAGTTTTTATTTTTTAGAATTTCCATGAGTCGATCATGTTTTACTTTATCAAACGCTTTATTGTATTCTATAAAACAGACGTAAAGAGGACGGTTAACATCCAAACATCTCTGTGTCAGCACATTGAAGGAGAATAATGCCTCTCTGGTACCCATACCATTGCGGAACCCATATTGATGTCACTAATATCCAGCTCCAGTTTAGAGTGTATTCTGGCGTGGATAATTTTCAAGAGAATTTCAAGGTATGTGACATTAAGCTTATGGTTCGATAGTCACTACACTCTTTGGCATTCATCTTCTTTGGCAAACACACAAATGCTGATGTCAACATTTCTCTAGGAATGATTCCCGTAGTATAGATAGCGTTGAATAGTTCTACTATTATGTCCAGGTTTTTCTCGTTGACCAACTTTAGTATCTCGCTTGGTAATTCATCTGGACCAGCAGATTTATTGGTTTTCATTGAGTTCAATGCCTGACTAACCTCTGATTTGGTTATCTCTGGACCTACATCTCCCGTTTGGCTATCTACAGATGTACTAGCTTCTCTCTGGTCATGAAATAATTCTTCGATGTACTCTTTCCATCGTCGTAGTTTTTGTTCTGTTTCCAATATATTTCCATTTTTGTCGAGCAATATATTTGAGGTTCTTCTATTTCCTACTCCGGCTAGTTCTTTGACTTTTTTTATGTAGGTTGAAGTTGTCATATCTGTTTTGAAGTTCTTCTATTTCTTTACATTTTTCAGAATCATTTTTCAGAAACACATCACATCAACATTCAAAACAATCACATGTTAAGATATATTCTGTCTAAAACCAAACCAAACAACACACAGTACAGATCAAGGAACTACAGCTATAAAATACATTGTGAATGCAACATTTTTTATGTAGGAGAAATCACAAGATCACAAGTGTCAGGATAAACGAGCATGAATTATACATCAAAGACAGAGACTTCGACGGCTCCAAGATATAAAAACACGTCTAGGACAATGAGCACATAGTACAATGAAAAGATGCATCAATACACATATAAGAAACATACAGCAAAAAGGGAAAAATCAACGAAGCAGCTTTTTGTCATCTTAATTAATGAAAAAAAACATTTCCCTTTAACTACAAGATCGAGGCCAGATAAGTAACCTGTCAACTTGGTACACGAAAGCGTCAACTAATAAATATCTACAGGTTCAAATAATTTCTTATATTTTTAAAACAAATCTTTTTTAAAAAACCATTTTCGCAGTGGAAATCGAAACGTCAAAAACAAACCGAGTTATAGCATCTTACACTTTTTTAGGTACAAAATTTACTTCGTTTTACGATCTTCTACTATGTTATCTATCATTTTTCTATTAGCAATTATAGCAACTGCATTCCGAATGATACTTTCCTGTTTCCCCACAATTTGTATTATTCACTAGTTCTTTCGCCTTTACACCTCGTCTCTTTAATGCAAGCCATTTGTACTCTCCTTCTTCTAAGCGATTGCCCAACTTTATACTCTTACCTGTAACACTTTCGCGATTTTAAGACCTTGTGCTGATTATTCTAACCTGTAATGTCCTACTAAAATCGGGCCATTTTTTATTTTTTTTTAAACAAGGACTGTAGTTTTTTTACCTACTTGTCGAAAAAAAAAAACATTTATCAGCAATTATTATATCGTTGAATACGCACACCTCGGTCGGCATGATTGATGTCTATACAATACATGAATTGTTATCGTTTTTGAATAATCTTTTCGGAAGAGGATAATTAAAATACAGAAATGAAAAAACGCACAGTTTGAGTTTTCCTATAACATATTAACACGATAAAATGCATGCGTTTTGGATGTGGTATTACCAACACACCAACAATGTAAGCAAAGTACAATATTACCCACGACCACTTATATTTTTCTGTACAGACCTACTATAAGAATATACAGGCTAAAGTATAGTGTACTTAATTGTGGTAGAATACTAGGAACAATAATGATTGTAACTGGTTTTATTTCTCTTAGTAAATTGCCTTTGACTGGAGTTGCTAATTGTTTTTGAAAGACCAGTTTGAAAGACTATGTAAACTTCCCTACCTGAGCCAAGCAAACTCCGTCTTCTCCATCCGGACTGCATGCAGCATGAAGAGATGTTCTAGTACCCATAGTAGCGTGGAGTACGATGCAAACCTTTTGGTGGTGTCTGGCCAGAAGAACTTGACGTCTGCCTCCAGGATCCGTACCGGTGTGAAAGAGTACCCGTAGTACCGGAGAATCTCTGGGTATTTCATTGCGAACGATGTGAGCAGACATGTCCAAGTGGTGGGTTGCTTGGTCTTGAAGATCAATGCTTGGACCTGTAATAGACATAGAATAGGATTTTATTGAATTTTATTGTAGAAAAAAGTTAAATTTAAATCAATCCAAATAAAAAAATGCATATACACTCATGGACAAAAATATTAAATATTTTGGAATTTTTTTTGTATATTTTGAATAAATATTTTGAATATTTTTGTAGTCACTATTATTTCAAAATAATTTCAAATTACTAATGATACTCATATAGTAGGCTCTTGTACTCAATTGGATCGAAATATTTAAACGTTTATTTTGAAGTTTATTTAACGTTTAGTGTCATTCGTACATTTTATCATAAAAAACCTTTTTAAAGTAAATTACTAAATATGAGACAATTTCATGTGCGTTCAGAAACAGTTAGACGAAGTTAAAAAACGCAAAGTTAAAGCTCAGGCGTCCTGTCAAAGTTCCACGACTTCTCCAAAATCATAAAGCTCGTCGTTTAGAATTTGCAAGAACACATATTCAGAATATCGACTGAATGGAACAACTGGAAAAATGTTCTTCTCACTGATGAGGCCAGAATGCTATTATGGAAGGCAGATGGTCGAAACTACGTCTACAGAAGAGTTGGAGAATGATTCGCCACCTGCAATCTCGCCCATACTCTTAGTTTTGGAGGTGGTGGCATAATAGGTATTAGTTGGAAGGTACGCACTGCACTTGTGAAAGTGATAGGACGGATGACTGGTGACTATTGTCAGTTGTCTTGTAAAATGAGCACATCTAATTAAAAAAAAACATATGCAAGTAAAACATCCGACCATATAGGATATACCGAAATAATACCACGTGTCAAATTTTATGATGGTCCATAATGGCAATACTTTTTATTAGGAGTTTAACATACGACTATTTCGTTGCTCTATTAAATCACAATCAGAGGTAAAAATCAAAATAAATATAAAATCACGATCACTAATCATTTAGTCCATTACTAATCCATAGTATTGTACATATTTCAATAGATTGTAACGTTATAAACGTCACATCTTTATTAATTTATATTTAAATAATTATTTTATTTTAATTTATTTATTAATTTATAATTCCCTAACCTTCAGTCGCATTTTTACTATTTATCTTCAAAAAATAGTTGGCGCCCTCTCTCTCTCTTTCTGTCCGGTAGAATAAATATTCGCCCGCGCTCTTTCTGTTCGGTAGACTAAATATTTTGTTCTATGTTGACAGAAGAGCTAATTCCATCATAGGCATACGTCCTATGGCATATGTGCTATTCATTGTAGGCAGAGTCACTCCCCACAGTTTGTCAACCAGATTTTCTAACATGGTAGGATATTTTTTTATGTGTAGTTGTTATAAAAGAAGATAAAAATTATTGTAAGGTTCATTTTATCGTCTGCAGAAATCTGTTGGGGTGAGTACTTTCATTGTAATCTATATTCTATAATTTTGACAGCATTTTTAATATTCATAACCTCACTTCTTCGAAAGCCACGTTTTCAATTTTATGCATGTAGGAATCTTACAAAACTTAAATAATTTTAATATTAATTCTACTTTAGCTTTAGCTTTAGAAGTAACAATAGCCAAAGGATGTACAAACATGAACTTTGTAAATCAGTCAACAACAACTAAAAGATAACGATTTCCATTTTTAGATCTAGGGTATGGACCAAGTAAATCAGTAGATAAAAACTGAAAATCATAATCTTTTGGTTATATTAAATTAGATGTTACTGATTCTAGTGATGATGAATCTCAATAATATAGTTATATAATATGGTTAAGCTATATATTTTATTATTTAATCTCTGTATATTTTGATATTTGTTTAGCTATGATAAATTTTATTAATCTAATTTATTTGACAATACCCTAACTGTTTATATATTTCTATTATTTTACTTTGGGTAATTGTTTTTGATTTTGATACAATTAAAAGCCTCATCCAGCACCTTTTGTATGACAACGTGGTTTGTTGCATACATACACTGTGTTTTAGTTTTCCTAGGATCCATATATCCTAAGGAGATTTCGGGCCAGATTATATAAATCTGTGTTCCTTTTTGGTCTTTTAGAGACAATTAATATACCGTAGGTATATATATTTTTTGGATGATGTTTTTTTCTTATTTCTTTTGGAGAAATAATTCTACGTATATCTATTTTTAGAAATCTGGTGTAGAATTATGGCGCTTTGAAGTATATTGTAGTATACCTACCTTCATTCGTTTTCTTCTATCTTTTGTAAACTACATTTATGCAGTACTTTATTCTTTTGTGTAGATCCCTGGTTTATATTTAGTAAAAATAACATTTCTTATCTATCGTTATTAACTTACTCTTAGTCTTCTAGGACTTGTTTTATGGACATGCTTTTACTCATCTTATAATTTTGATATTATTGTTATCTTACTGTAGGTACTCAGTCACCCCGAGTACTAATATTTTTTTAGATTCATTCATTAGCATTGTCCATTAGCTATTCATTTCTGTGAGATAAATAGAGATTACAAAAGTTTCTGAAAAAGGAAAGAAAACTCATGCCATCTTGTCAAAGGGAGAAACATAATATTGTAATAGAATTTGTTTCCCGATAGCAATAAGAAGACTAGGAAACCTTTGACTATGTGTGCGCAACTGATTCCTTGTAAACTAAGACTCAGTTTCTGTCAAATTATTTGGTTGGAAAAAAACGACAACTTATAAAATAAACTTGTTATTTGACCTTAACACTTGACAAAACCTTTTGACTAGCATTAAACCTTACCAATTGATCTGTCAAACTTACCTGAGGTATTTACGGGCAACGGATCCGGAACGATGTACTTGGCCGGTACTGTCTGCTTGGTACTAAACGGGCCATAAGTTGCTCGGACCGATATCGGCTGCGATCTTTGGAATACTGTGAATTTATCAACGGAGAGAGGAACTCCTTCTCCAGGTGCTGCATTAGGTGTCGTTTCCGAATTTGAAGGTGTTAAAAAGTGTTGGCGAGTTTGCTGCTTTATGAAGAAGCCACCATCTTTGTTTTCGAAATGAACATTTACACATGATGTATAACCTGAAACAAAACAGCATTATCAGCAAATATTACAAACAAGTTATTTATCACCTACAAATATTAAAATATTTGCGAAACAATCAAGAAGATTTCAAATAAAGTGGATAATATTGATTGGTTTTTCTGGTACTTGAACCGACAACTCACAAAGGGCCTCATAGGACCAATTATTATTGAAGATTATAAGGTATTTGTTTATTTTAAAGAATATATTATATGATATCCTTCAATTTGATAACTTCAAATACTTTTATTAATTAAATAAAATCCAAGTTATTAAATTAGACCTATCATGTAGACATATCTATATCAACTTTTATCAGTTGATTAAACCAAATCACCCGGAATAGATAATCTCCCAGCTGAACTATATAAAGAAGGTGGCCACGATACCATAATAGCACTACAGCAGTTTATAAAAGAAATATGGACACAGAAATTCCTCACCAGTGATTAAAATATTGGAATACTCTGAACCATACACAAAAAAGGAGATATCTTTAAATGCTCTAACCACACTCACTTTACTTTATCGTGTCCGGACATATCATTCATAAAATATTTCGGCATAGTATCGGGCTACGTCGTCGGTTCCATCTTTGTTGGCGAGCCACAAACCTTCGAAGGTACATCGATGAGGACAGTGACAGTTCACATCATCTTGGTCTATTTTTCCCCATTCTGCCATGTTTGATTTTACTGGAGCGACCCCCGTTTTTATCCTATTCATAGTTTTCCACGTTTTAAAGTTTAGGGACTGGCCGGTCCATTGATCCTGGGGAAGAGGAAAATACTCAGGCGGTTCATCCTGCACTGTTTCAAGGAAGCCTTTTCTGGATTTTAGTCGCTTTCGTGGTGTTCGAGCGTTGTATAGGGCATGTCGCTCATCCGCTATCTGTTTAATTCTCTCTAGAGGGAGGTGTAGAGGGTTCTGCAAAACCCGCTGCTTTATATAGATTTAAGAATGGTGTTGGTTTCATGCCCCCGTTACTATCCTGTATGCCTCATTTGGCGCAGTATCAACTTGCTTGGTGTGAGCAGAAGTTGACACACATTGCCTTAAAACGCCAGGACGTGCACCCCATTTACTTTCCGTTAGCTTTCTGAGTATGCTGTTCCTAGTTGTTACTTTCCCTATTGTTTTTATGCAATGTTGTCTGTAGGTGAGGGACCTTTCCAGAGTTACTCCAAGATATATATGTTGGTTTGTATGTGCTAATGTATTACCATTCCACGCAATTTGTAGTTTTCGCTTGGCTTCCTTTGCGCGAAGGTGGAAAGCGCAGACTTGGATATTAGACAGATTGAGTCTCAGGGAATTCTGCATTGTTCCGCTGTCATTGTTTTTAAGTCAATTTCGACTTTCTCGACCACTTCTTCAAAACCATTTTCTTGAGAACATATTGCAAGATCATCAGCATAGAGAAATTGCTGGGTTTCTGGGAAAATACTGGGATTTTCTGGGTCCTTTCCTGGTTTTAACAAGGCCATTACTTTAGATTTCCTCAATGATTTTGGAATTTCGCAGGCTTTGCAGCACGTGTTATAAAGTTGCAAGATCCATTTTTTTGGTTCTTGGCCTAGATGCTTTATTTTTTCACTGCACATGTTATCCACACCTGCAGTTTTCCCGTCTTTTAACCTGTTCCTACCGTCGTAGAGTTCTTTTAGTTTAAATGGAGTTCCTAAATGGTTTGTCTCCGAATAAAATCTTCTTCTCGTGTTTTGGTTCTTATATTGGTTCGAAGTTCTTCCATTCATAAGGAGTTGCGCAGCGACTTGGTTTGCTGTAACCTTGCAGGTGATTTAAGTTCTTTTTCAAGGATATTATCAAGGAAACTTGTTGTGGATCTTCCTCTTCTTCTCTGACCAATGGCCCCATTCTAGGTGGATCATTTTGTTCCATCCACATTACATGCTCTATTCATCTAAGATGTCCTATTTTAATATATTTTACGACATCTAGTTTCGGGTATATTCTATAAAGTTCGAAGTTGTACCGCCTTCTCCACACTCCATTATCATTCACCTCCATAGATTCGTACTTTTCTTTCAAAACATCCTAACACGTTTTCATTAATTTTTGTTAGAGGTCTTTGAAGCATATATTAGGACTAGGCGTATTATTGTTTTGTAGAATTTTACTTTTGCATTTCTCGATATAATTGAGGATTTAAGAAGGAGATTAAGCCCAAAAAATCTATTGGTCGTGCAAATTCTGTGGTTTATCTCTCCGGTAGGATTGTTTGTTAACGAGCACACCCAGGTATACAAATTCATTCACTGCGTCGATGACGTCGTTGTCTATAACAAGTGGTCGTAGGATTTGTAGTTGCATGCTTACTTTCATATACTTCGTTTTGTTTGTGTTTATTATTGAACCCATTTTGTAGCCGATTCTTTTAGTGCTACATACGCCTCTCATACAGCGCCAGCGTATTCTGTTCTCACAACAATATTGATATCATTAGCATAGGCAAGGATTTGCACTGATTTGTTATATGTGTGTCGAGCCTGTATGAGAAATTCTACATCAGCCCCGACAAAACCAGGGCACTGCCACCTCCGTTCTCCACACCGTTAAGAAGACCTTCTTTTTCGCTATGGATGCGGCTGTCGACTTCATCTGTGACCCTGGAGGCATTAGCATGTACTAGTTTTCCGTGTCGGAAAATACCTGTACGAGTTCCTACCCGCTACTGAAAGGGAAAGCATCTAATATAAGACCTATTAATACTCTCTGCTTAATATCTAGATCATACATTTCAAAGAGGTCGTTAGGCGAATCTTAAAAGCAGGTTGTTGTCAGAGGCCATTTTTGCAAGTTCAGCTTTTTCCAACAGTCTTAAGTACATCGCTAGTAATTCAGATTAAGCACATACTATTGCTGGTAATTCCGCTTCAAACGATTTTGTAGTATTTCCAAGGGTTATTGACAGTCTAACGTTATGACCTTTTTCTTCGCGTGCCATATCAGAATTATCCGACGTTGACGATCCCCATTGCGAATGCTTCTCGATCTTTTGCAATATGGAATAATTGTCCTGCATTTGGTATCTGAGTCCCGTCACGAAAGTTTTTTAATGTATAAACTTGTTGTTCTCCTACAACTCTACGGCCCTCTATTTTGCCTTTAAGGATCAGTTGTAAAATTTTATATCGACTTACTATATGTCCCCGATAAGACATTTTTCGATGTTTAAGAGTCTTTAGCAGTTCTCTTTGTTGACGCTCCTTAGTACTTCTTCATTAGTTTTTCTTGCTGTCCAAGGTATCTTCAGCATTCGTCTATGAACCCACATTTTCAATGCTTCAATTTTGTTCATGATCGATACTTTTAGTGTCCACACTTCTGCACTATACAAAAGTAGAGACCAAACATAGCACTTAACCATTCTTTGCTTAGTTCTAAACTGAGATGGTTATTGCAAAGAAATGAGTTCATTTTCATAAAAGTAGTTTTAGTCATTGCTATTCTACGTTTTATTTCTATGTCTAGATCTGGTTGGTCCGTTATCACAGTTCCCAAATATGTAATTTTGTAAACTTTCTCAACTTGGACTCAGAGAGTCCTTCAATATTATCTGATAGAATTACTCTATCGTCTGTATATCTAATCACATTAAGTAGTTCCCCGTTGATTTTTATTTCATATGGTTGTCTCTCAAGTGCCTTTTTAAATAACTGGTCTCAGTAAACATTGAACAATGCTGGCGACAAAATGCAACCTTGTCTGACCCCTCGTTGTATGGGAATTTCATCGGTGTAGTTATCTCAAATTTTTACGATAGCAGTTTGATTCCAGTACAAATTTTTAATGACACGAATATCCTTGTCATCTATTCCGATATATTTTAGTATTTGCATTAATTTTACATGCTGTACTTTATCGAATGCCTTTTCGAAGTCCACAAAACATGCAAATACATATTTTCTTTGGTCACAGCATTTTTGTAATAGGATGTTAAGCGCAAAAAGTGCCTCACTCGTTCCCATAGCATTTCTAAAACCAAATTAGGTATCTTCAAGATCTTCGTATTTGCGTCTAATTCTGTTGTGAAGTATTCTGAGGCAAAATTTTAAGAGTGTGGCTCATTAGGCTAATTAATCGATATTCTGAGCATTTTCTTGCATTGTGTTTTTAGGTATTGCGATAAAGATGGATTTGAGCCAATCTGCGGGAATCACTCCGGTATTATATATTGAATTAAAAAGTCTTACTACTACTTTTAGGTTATCATTCTCTATTCGTTTCAGCAACTCAGTTGGTGTATTATCTGGACCACAGGCTTTGCTAATTTTAGCATTATTTATAGAATGTTCTACTTCGCATTTTATAATTTCTAGGCCGCCAGTACAGTTTCGGTAGAATTCGGCAATATTATTCCTGTCATCTTCAAACAACTAATGTTAGGACCACTAATCTCTATTCCTAGTCGTTGATGTGTTTTTGGGATTGAGTATAATTAGTAAGGATTTCTTGCACGATTTGCACGAGGTTTTTGAGGATTAGTTAATTTATAAATATATATATATATATATATATATATATATATATATATATATATATATATATATATATATATATATATATTTTGTTATGATGTGTTGTTTCTGTATGAGCTAAATGATATATGTAAGTATGGGGTTTTTATCGCGGTTCTCAAAGAATTTGTTTGTAAGTACTTTTTTAAATTATCTTTATTATAACTATTATGAAACAAACATATCTATCTAATATAAGCAATATCAATTTAAAACAATCTATCTGAAATTTCAAATTCTTACAATTATTAAATTATTAACAAAATTTGGTACCTTTCTGTCACTGAACGCCTAAAGTTTTTCCAAAATTAAAGTTATTATCACCACTCAATATCTTCTTACTCAGGCTTGGTTATCCAACAATTTTAATATGTTTCTTCTTAATTATCTCCACTCACCATATAAATATATAAATTTAAATCCTTGTAATTTCCATATATTGTACTTTCAAATAT